CACTTCCTAGAAGGCGCCCCCTTGTGGAGGACTGTGAAGCCGTACCGGGGCAACTGCCCCGTAGGGGCCAATTTACGGCAGTACAGAAGCCATTTTAAGGCACAACAGGCTGTATCATAACAGAACGTACAGCCCGTGGGCTGTTAGGGACGTCTTACCACCCCCAGTATTTGTTTCCAAGGGAGTAGGAAGCCAGGATCGAGCAAAGGGAGGGGACTTACCTTTTGCGGAAGGCTGTGTGGTCGTAGTATCGGCATCCTGCTCTCTTTTTGCACTTATATTGCCACAGGAGGCAGGTGGTGTCGATGGCACTGCCGTAGACCACGGGCGCAGGCAACCAGGCTGAGAAAGAAGCAAAGGGTTCGAATCCCAGTAAGGGTATGGCTAGCTGATGAGGGCTAAATCGCTTGAAATAGATCTATATTAGTCTCACTCCCCCTCCCCTGTGGTTGTAAGCCGCCCTGAGTCCCCTCAGGGAAAAGGGCGGCATATAAATCCCAATAAACCTCTAAACCTCTAAACCTCTTCTATGCCTATGACAGGACTAGATTTTCTCAATCCTAGCTCAGTACCTTAACCATTAAACCAAAGTGGTTTTAGTCATGTATAATGTTGCTAAATAGAGTTTTGTAAAGAAAATATAATTTTGGGTTATGCTTTAAACATTACTGAACAAAAGACAAAGCTAGCCTTACTTGGCTGATGATTGACTTCTCCTATCAAAGTAGCACCAAGAAGCTCAACAAATACAGATTCTGATTGCTCTGGTTCATCATCATCCAGAATAGGGAGGTGTAGTGTAGCTTCATTTTCATTGGCTGGAAGGATTACAAATCCTGAAATGGGCAGATAATCTTCTCCCAATGTTGCCCTTGCAATATTTGGTGGCAGATAGAGTGAGTCATTTTCATCACACATGGTTCTATATGTAACCTTGACTACTCCCAAGTGACCTTTCAACCTTACTATTGTTAGGGTGACATTCTTGGTTTCTTCCTCAACGTTAATTGGCCTATTTTTTTCAGAGAAAATCAACAATCCATATGGGTCATCATTTGCAAGAATAGTCAATGTAGCATTTGTGTGAACTCCAAGCCGCCCATGTGTAACATTAATGATATAAACTGAAAATGTCTTGTCTAGTTCTGGAATTTCATCAGGCAAAATATTTACAGTTAAATTTGCTTTCCTTTGCTCTATGTGGAATGTTATGTTGCCACTTGTTGCAGTCACATCTTCAGTATCATTTGGCACTATGAACCAATATAGCATCACCCGAGACAATGCACCATGATGTCTAATAACCTGAAAAGCAAAGCAATACATCATTATTATTGTATCATGTAAGACATGATGTCTTAGCTAGACTAAAGTTCCTGTGCCACTTTAGATATTTCATAGACACTTCTTCACAATATTAATCACAATATTAATCAGCAAAATAAATTTGAAACAAGATTTCTAGGCATTCAGCAGTTTTTATAACATTTCTGCCATACAGTCATAATCCCGTCTCATGATCTTTGTATATAATTATCCTATCAATCTTGCATCTTGATACTGAACTCGAGTATCACTAATATGAGTGCTATAAATGAGTAAAATATAAGGTATTTCCAATTTTCTGTCATAAACCCCAAGTATCCCTGCATATTAGAGTGAGATCATGACAACTACAGTTATCAGCAAAAGAAAGCCTATTTTTGGAAGAAAAAAAATAATGTAGCCATGGAGGATTTCTATAACAAGTAAAGTATGCAAACACAAGAGTAGTATATGGGACTACATCTGTAAACCTCAAATGTGATGATTCCTATTCCATTTTCAGGTTCCATTCCACTGAGAGAGAGGGATTCAGCACCGAACTCAAAGACTCCATGTGCATCATCAGAGGCTTCAATAGTCACTACGATATGAGATGCTATTCCCAGATTGCCTGCTGATATAAAGGACAAATATATAAATTATATATATCATGCATTAATTCTAACAATTGGATCACATATAATACCCAAAATTTAATATCCTGTACCAAAATAAATGCAACTCAACTGAAACAGAAGTATGGCTACTTAATTTTCCCAAAAGGTTTGAATTGCGACCCTAAACACACAGGTAGGTCTAGACAAAAAATATTAAGCAAAGGCAGCTTTCCTACCACTGTCTTCCCACAGTATTCACCTAACATTGAAAATCTTCTTCCAGAGGTTGGAAGATACTAAATGGAGGTATTTCAGAGGATACCTTTTTTTCAACTCAGTTGCTTAACTCTTTCAGCAAGTTTCCCTGTCTTTTCTGGGTCTGGGGAAGAACTAGGGGACAGAGAAGTCTTTAAAACTATTTTATTTATAAATCATCATGCCAGAAATGTGACAGGCTGGCATAAGAACTTTCTTTCTATGTCAGAGGTAAGAGAGAATCTGAAAAGTGTCTTTGGAATAGACAGCTCTCCTTATGTCTCCAGGAAAGAAATCTGGTAATATACTTTGAAAATAAACAGCCTGCCAGCTTTGAATAAGAAGAGGAGAAAGGCTAAGTTCTTATTAAGGTAAGATTGTACATTACTGTACCGTTTCTTTTAAATGCTGGGAGTTAAAATCCGCATCTTAAAAGTTGTCAAATTTGAAAAATACTGTTTGAAATAGTGAACCATACTTCTAAGAGAGGGGGAAACTCCAGAAATCACTGCTTACCATATTGATGGACAGGAGGAAGGAGGTAGAAATCACCATCACCACTACCACTGCCACCATTAAAGAATTCAGAAACTTTAAAAAGACAAAGACAAAGATGATACTTTTTTTGTGAGCTACCTGTATCAATTATCTTTAATTAAGAGTAACAGATACTTGATAAGTGAAAAAGCAAAGAAGAAGCAGAATCTATAAATCAAAATTCTCTGAATTAGTAAATTCTGGAAATAATGCTAAAACAAATAAGGATATTTATTTATTCACAAAGTAGACTGCCTCAAACTGAGCTTAACTCCATGCAGTTTTCTTTGCAACAAAGCGGAAGTGCTTTCACATTGCTTTCATCTTGTTTTTTTACTTCACAGTCTAATCTATTCAGCCCAGTGATTTTCTGTGAGTTTCTCAGATGACTTTTTAACCAGGTTAGATTTTTTTAATGATCTGCCAAGAATACATTCAGCAAAAGAAGCTCATGTGCAATAATATTTTCATAGCATCAGAGGTAATCAACTGTAGCCATAATGGAGAACCTATGGCACGCAGAGCCCTCTCTGCGGGCACACCAACCGTCACCCCAAAACAGCTCCACTATGCATGTGTGCGTGCCTCCCACCAGCCAGCTGGTCTTCAGGTCTCTGTGTGGGGGTTGCATACACAAGGTGTGCATCCACGGGAGGCTCATGCATGGGGGTGCGCATATTGTATTTTGGGGGCTCTGCAGCACCCCTGCACCCAGTTTTGAGCCTGGAAGGCCTCCTGCACCAACCTGGAAGCCAAAAATGGGTAAGAGGGAGGTGGCGCACATGCAGAGGTTTTCATGTGCATGAGCCGGGTGTGGGGGCAGTGGGGAGGTTTGCACATGCATGCACAAGGGTCACGCACATATGCATGGGGCAAGGTGCATGCAGTGGGTCATTCACGCATATGCGGGGGTTGGGGTGGGAGGGCACATTGTATTATGGGAGCACGCATGCACTTTCGGCACATGACAACAAAAAGGTTAGCCATCCTTGAACTATAAGGACTGGCTTAGGTTCTGGGTTTCTACAAAGTTATTAAATACTTGTTATTTCAAGTTTTGGAGCAGCTTCAGATAAACACGTGTCAGATAAAATGAGGATTTTGACACATACTCTACTACCAAGATTCCTGACAACATATACTATAGAGTACCTAGTTTATGTGGAGTATTTTGTTTAACAACAGAGAAGATATGCAGCTAATGTTTTCAAAAGAAAATTAAAAATATGCTTTTTTTAAAGGAAATTCAAGTTATTTTTGAAAAGAGTTTTGCCAGAATGAATTAAATATAATAAATGTCAGTTCCCAAAGAGACAAATGTGTTATTATTATTCCGTGACCCTTTACCTGCCCCATCTGGATTCAGCAATTCTACTTTGAAAGCCTTTTCTAGCTCAGGGATAGAATTATCTGTAATGTTGACAAGAATGTGCTTGTATCTTTCTCCTGGCAGAAATTCCAAGGTCCCTGTAATTCCCTGCAGGGAACAAAAAATGTATTAAAATATCTACATGAGGATGCCATTCATCAAGTCATCAATTACTTGGGACAGGTCCACGGCTGTCATAGGGGTCACAAACCTCTGAGCCACCTTAGACCTAGCCTCAGAGGGTGTCAAATTAAAACCCTCAGGAGCCAACAGCTAAGGAATTCTATGGCCAACCCAGCCATGAAATGTAGAAGTTGAGGCAAGAATCCCTTAGGTAGCAGGGATAGCAGTATACTAGCAGCAATCCCAACTATTCCCTTTACTCTGAAACATTGATACTGTAGGTAACAATGGACATACTATTTAAATGATAAACTCATTAAGATGAAGTTAAGTGGCCTTAACTTCAACCCTTTTAGAGAGTTGCTCATATACCTGATAATCTTGAGGGCTGAATGCTGTTAGTGCAACTGTTCTGTATTGTGCCATAATTGTCCCAAGTAAGCCTTGTGCTCGAACAACAAGCAAGCTGACTTGCCCTATTTCTTCCTTGACAGTAATGTGGGGTGTTGTCGTGGCTGAAATAATGATTTCATCGGTGTCTGAAGAAGGCTGCCCAACAGAGAACTGCAACAAACCTGACAGGTAAAAAAATATACCTTGTATTATTTAGCCTTAAGTGCAGGCAAAGAATATTTATTAATAAAAATACATTTGTCTCTGATACATATAAAGATCCATGTCCATTTGGACAGGGCTACATTTGAATCTGCATCATATTGAATCTGTATACAGCTATAGGAAAATATGTTAAGGTATGCAATTTTGTAATTGGATAATATATTCCAGCAAAAAAGATTACTAGCTTTCTCCAGTTGGCATAGGTTAATAGTGAATAGTTATACTAAAAATTAGCAGACATTCTACATAGTGTCTGCTTTTCCATGTTTTCTCATTTCAAGAGAACCATTTTCTTTCTTGAAAAGAGAAAACATGGAAAAACAGGCGGTATGTAGAATGTCTGCTGATTCTTAGAGGTGAATTCTATAAATTATTTAAATAATTTTATAGCAATTAATTAAATCTATCTATATATACATCTATCTACAATATCTGTCTATCTATAATAATATAACTATTCAAAGAGCAAAACAATAATAAATGATATACTGTATGTATGCCACAGGACACAAGTCACAGTAAATTACATCCCAGAATGAGTCAACTCAATACAGCCAACTTGCCACGGGACAACTAGCCATGGTCAGCTCACTATAGGACAATGTGCTGCTGCTCTTGGATATAGCTGATGCTTCCAGCACTAATAGAAATTGCATCACTGCATCCTCCAGTGGCGCTTTATTCTATAATTTGAATCCCTGATTTGAACCCAATAGCCAGGTGGTGATACTAATGTAGCCTGGATTACAGGCACACAGATGAAAGAGGTTTTGGTTACCCAAAAATCTGTAACACTGCATTGATAGGGCAGTTTCTAATGGCCTCTTTTGCAGACAAAATTTACATTTTCTAAATCAGTGTTTCTCAATCTTGGCAACTTCAAGATAGATGACTTCAACTCCCAGAATTCGCCAGCCAGCAAAGCTGGGTAGATGTCCACCTATCTTAAAGATGCTAAGGTTAAGAAACACTGCTCTAAATAATCATACATTTCAATCTCAGGAACATTCCTATAGATTCTATTAATTAAGCTGCAGTCCCCTTCCCATCCTTTTAACGGTTAATTCTGTGTCTGACACATTTGTTTTAGGATAAGTGAGGAGACAATGCATTTTAATTAGCAAAGAATGATTCCTGATATATTCATTCAGCTTTAAAAAAAAATCTTACACCCTGTCACTGATTTTGTTGGGACATAACTATATATAAAACTAAATATAATAGATCATTTAAAATTATTATGGTTTAGGAAATTTTTTGCTAGATAATACAATATTATGCCTGTTTTATTAAACCCAGTAGGGTGCATAGCTAGTAAAACAATGGCTGTAATTTTACAAGATTTCCACATTAAGTATTTTTAGTCTTCTATCTAAAACGTTGTGAGAGTTAGGCAGGTGTTTTACTTTTAGTAACTTACAGCAGTGGATGAAGAATGCTAGTCAATTCAAAAGTCTTTTATTAACACATGAATGTAGCATTACATTGCAGACCAGTAAACCATCTATAGCACTACCAACTGTCTACATCTTAAATGCTATATGTAAATAATTATACAATAATCTATACAAATTAAGTATGAAATTTAAGGTGTAAACATAATTTTTATAAGTATTACCATAGGGGTAGTCACTAGCTTTGACAGTGATGTAAGTAGTTTCCTTCTCTGGATCTATGCTAGCTCCACTGGTTGGGGTTGAACCTGTTTTTCCATCTCCGGTAACTGCAGATATTAATGTCACCTGAAAATATTCTTTTAGTTCAGGTATATCATCATCAAGTACATGCAAATTCAGAACCTGGGGGCAGGAAGTGATGGGATAAAGATACAGGCAGAAACCCAAATTAAATATAAGTATTGTTATTGCATTTTAAAAAGCAAATCCAAAAGTGTGAGAAATTTTACATAAACATTGTTGAATACATGAAACTTTAATTTCAATCTGAGAAGAATATATTACAACCAATTTTAAAATTTATTAACCTGACAAGTTTTTCTAATGAAATCAAGAGCTCATTGGCCAACAACCATTAGGTTATTCCAGGGGTGTCAAACTTTTGGCCCGTGGGCCAGATGCATCACACACTGGCCACCTCCACCCCCGGTTTAATGAAGGGGGGAAAAGTCACTATATGTCAGATGACAACAATGTGACGCTGTGAGTTTGACAACCCTGGATTACCCTATCTCAATACTTTAAAACTAATGCAAGTAAAGCATTATTTAAAAAGCTGATAAAGGAGAAATTTAAAAATGAACAACATTAGGCAAAACTATTAAATATAGCATTAAATGTTAAAATTTAGAAATACTTAAAAGAAATATAAACAGAAAAAATAAAGATGCAAAATATAGTTAAAGCCTCTATTGTGATTTTAAAAGGCTTGGGAAAAATTAAGAGTATTTGTACATTAATAAAAAGACATTATAATGGGTATCAGGCAAGCTATTTTAGATGAAAGTTTAGTATCATAGAAGATACAGATAACAAAGAATACTTCCCTCAATATCAGAATCATTTAATTTTTAAAAATACACAAAATTTAGTGTTAATATGATGAAAGTCTTACAGAGACTATCTAATACTTTCTGGTTGAAAAGATTTTATAGCATTTCCATTCTAAATGTTATTCATCATTCATTTAAGTGTAAACAAATAAAAATAACTACAAATTAGGTACATCGGTAACTAGTACAATGAGCCTTCATTTAAAGCCACAAATATACTGAAATTAGTGTGCATTCTGGAAAATAGATTAGCAAAATATATTATCCAAATTTCAAAGCAGCAAGGCATAACAATTATATTATTAACTTGAAGAAGAATGTATGATTTACCTCTGACCTCTGGAAAGGAAGGAATTTTACCATTCCACTACTGTTAGCAAAGTCAGTAACAGTATAATTAACACCATAAGAATCAATCTGAGAGATAGCGTAATACACAAAAACAGAATCCAAGGCCCCTCTGGTGCGTTCCACTACACAAGATACAGTAGAACCTTCATTAGAGACCTATGAATAATAAGAACTTCAATAAACATTATGATAAACAGAAGATTTGAGAATTTTGAGGTTTGGATGGAAATAAAATATGAAGTCACATTGATATGTTATAATAAAATCAATATTCAGCTTTAAAATGCATAAATTCATATTGGGGGGGGGATCTCATTACACACACATGTTCATTTGTTCAATAGTTATTTTGCCCCATTCATCAACTCTAAAAGCTCCCTGAGCACTTTAGCAATGATTAACAGGGAGACATTTCTCATGAACAAGATTACCATATAAAATATCTGAAATAAAAGGAAAAAAATGGAAAATAAGAAAAGGAGGCACCAGTTTTTAAAGTCAGAGTTTGCATAATAATCATCTGTGAACTATTGTAAGAAACAAAAATACTAGAAAAAAGCCTTATATCCGTTGTTTGCCCATGTGAAATCCTCTATCTTAATTTCATTCCTTTTCCACTCCTCACAGTGATTTATAACAACCTGCTTATAAACTAACTTCTAGTTAACAGTTCCAGTGTTGCTAGTATGAAGACTTTTCAGCTAACAAGATTAAGCAACATGAGGACTGCATTTTGATAGCAATGTGCTATCAAGATTGCAAGGTACCATTATCTCCATACTGCTTTGGGTAGGTTGAGGTCAAAAAGAAAATGAGTGGTTCCAGTTTAGCAACTGGCAACTCATTTATTGAGCAAAGCATCACTAAGTGAAGCCACAGCTGTGTTTATGATCTTACTTCAGCTTCCCTTTATTGATCTGTGAAGGTCATGTAAATGCACAGATTTCTTGCAAAGTTGCTTTTTTATCACTATTATGATGAAACAGCCCTAAAAGAGGCAATCACTAAATGAAAACTACCCGTATCTAGTACTGTAATGGCGAATCTAGTACTGTAAGTGGCATGCAAAGTCATGCAGCCTGGCATGCATGGCGTCACCTGTTCTGGGTTTCTGGCATGCAAAAAGCTGGCCTTTGTGCATGCGGCAATGCTCTAAACTGGAAGAGCTGGTCTTCCGTTTTCCGGCTTGAGTATGCGCACTGGCCAGCTAATCGGAGCATGCACATCAGTAACCTGAAGACTTGCTAGCTGGCACGCATGCATGCGCTGGAAACAAGAAGTTCATTTTCTGGCATGTGCATGCCACCTAGGCAGCTCCTCTTCCAGTTCACGCCCTAGATGAGCATGCACGCTCCCTTTTCAGCACTTGGTGCCATGTGTGCGCGAGCTCCTTATTCGGCACTTGCCGCTGAACAGGTTTGCCATCACTGATCTAGCATGCATACTGGTTAGACTTGAATTAAGGATTTTCATGGATCATGTTAATAGGGTTTTTCTACCTCTGGAATACATGCTCCTGTGAAACCAAATAATCCATTGGCATTATCACTTTTCTGGATTCTTAATGTTGCAATTGTGTTTTCTTGTGAAATTCGTGCTCCTCCATAAACTGAAATAAGCTTTAGAATGAACAGCTCCTCTCCCTCCTCTTCTTTGTCATCTTTGGCAGAAACAATGAATGATTTATTCCTTTCTCCTTGTCGATATTCTAAGTATCCAGAGATGGGATACAAATCAGACCTTGCCGGCATAGCGTGAAGTTCATTGATCTCTTCCTTTGTTAATTTACATTCATAAAATCTCACATCTTGCATCAATCCTTTATACCTGCCGCCACCATTTATGCCAGCACCAACTTTCATTATTCCTGGTCCTAGAGAAAACAGGCCCACAAATAAATATTGTTTTTAATGCTCCAACTTTTAAGTTTTACAAAATTAAATTGGTTAGTTCTATACATAATCACCCATTTTGAATTTTCTTATCTAAAACAAGAAAGCTGACTTCAATGTAATTAAAATTAAATGCATGTATTAATCTTTATGTAGTAATCAATTCAGTGTAGTTAAAAGATTTTTCTGGCTCAAACTTCGTAGAATAATGTTTTGCTTTCATTTGTTTTATCTAGCCATTATGTGAGCCCAGCAGAACTAGGCATAATAAATCTGATTTATTTAAAAGCAAAAACAGCAATCTGTAAATTGAGTAAACTTACATGTTTTTGATTTGTAAAGTTTACTATTGTAAAAGTCTGGTTTCTGTTAAATCGTAAAAGGCTTCAAGGAAGCAATAAACAGGATTCAAATCTTTATTTATAAAGGCTGTTCTCCTCCAGCTTGAAAAAGTAAAGAGGACCTACTGAAACTTTTCTGTAGCTTTTATTACTCTCCTGCTAAATAACAGCTACGAAGTTCTGCTTCACCAGAAAGGTTTCCCCACCTACACGAGAGGTAGTGTGTTGGAGTGTTGGGCATAGAAGGCTGAATATAAATTAATGGTGCAGCAACTAATATGACCAGCAGCTGATGATCTGCCTTAGGAGAGATCAGTCTTTTGATGCTGAGCTTCTGATGTAGAATGAAAATCTGAGAATTTTATAATCCAGTTTTAGTGGATTGAGACAGTTTGGGTGTATGCTTTCCTACTGAAGGTGGTATATCATGAGATGCACTCAGTAAGTACAATTTAATTCTCCATCTATTGCATCTGCACATTCATATTTCACCAGAAAATGTGAAATATGAACATTTGCTCTCAGAAGCTGTCTATACTGCTTTTAAAGAGTTCTTTGTGATAGAATATTTTGGGTCTGGGTTGTGATGGTACCTATTTGCCATGGTATCCTTCTGGCTCACTAAAAGATTTAGGTATAGGCAGTATCCCTATTTGTCAGACAGATCACATATAGAGGTATTTCATGACAGGTGCTGTTAATACAGGAGTTGCTACTACCTGGGACATATCTATGCTTACTATTTAAGCTGCTTCTGCCCCATGCCATTTTACTCCAAACTGATTTAAATTCCATCTATATTGAGACATTTTGACAAAACTTGTATGGTATACATACCACACTTCCAGTCATAACAAAAAGCTGTAAAAATCTTTTCCCATCCTACTGCTTTACAATATCTTTTAAAATTACTGTAGAAGTACAATGTTGTAGAAGCACAGTGGCTTATAAATAGAAGATCAATATTATATGTTAATTGTAAAATACTGTAACTTTACATTAAATATATGTAAAAATAGATTGGCTAAAATGCAAAGTTAGCTATTTGAAACTAGAAGTTTGGAATTAATTATCCCAGCATTAGCCAAATATAACTCTGCAATCCATTTTTTTTAAAAGCAAATACTTATCACACAGAGAGTATCTGTTTCAGATCTGTATAATAAAAACCATATATTTATTTATGCAATTTTAAATGAATGGGGATGAATTTTTATCTAACAAAAGAAAATATGTAATTCCTTCAGCAATTTTACTTCTCAATGGAGTTTGATCATCCAAAATTTCAGTTACAAGAACTCAAAACACCACACAGGAACAGCTTATATCCTGCAATGACACCCTTAACACCATTAAAAAAAAAACCTACCTCTCTCTTCGAAAGCACAAATGCCAATTCCAATCTAAACAACTGGCTGACAGTGCAACCAACCAGTAATAAAGATAACAACTGAATTATTAATAATGAATTAATTATTAATTGAATGCCAGGAGATAGTAGAATAAAAGACAAAAAATGGTGTTCATAAATTCGCTAAAAATCAAAATTGAAAGATTATGGCATAAGCTGCTTATGGTGGTCACACTGTTATAGGCACACAAAGTGCCATACTAAAAAAACTTGGATGGCACTTTGAAAATCTGCTGATTAAAATGTCCAAAGGCCACACTGCTTGGATCCACACATATAGTATGTTGATAGATTACAATATCTTAGGTTTTGGCAAAAAACTTGATGAGTATGAAGGCCAAATCCAACTAAAGAATTAGCAGATATTATTTCATATTGTTTTGTACATAGAATAACTGAAGTAGAACCATTGTGACAAAATAAAACAGACAGAGCTCCAATAGTAATCAATGCCTTGGGGAAAATATAAAACAACTGGAGCATTATTTCAAAACCATTGACATTGATGAAATCTCCATCAATTGTAAAAGGCAGCTTCACTTACATTAAAACAGTTTATATCATGAAACAATATCCTTAATATTATTTAATATTTAATTAGTATTTAATAACAGCATCTGGCAAATCCTTGGGAAGGACTCAACAGGTTTACAAAAAAAACCAAATTCAGTTTCAACATCTGAACAAACAAAACAATAATAATATTGCTTACCATCAGCAATTGCTTTTCCTTTGAGCTTCTTAATGCCCCCAGGAACAGGTTTGCCATCAATGAAAAACTCAAGAGTGCCATTATTGAGCATAATCAGAAGGTGAACCCAAATATTTTCCTCCAAGTATTTCATAATTGTGATTTTAGCTATATATGTCTTATTAGACTGCAATGGCATGTAATAGAATTCTATAGAAAGATGGGATTCGTTTGTGCCTATTTTTACTCCATAATATAGTAATCCATTACTATTGTCCTTTGTTATTATAAATCCATCGTTGTTGGCACTAGGAAGTACCCATGCTGAAAATGTGAAGACACTAATTATACTGTTTTTACTAACATGGACCTCTGCCTCAATTATCCCATATGAATCTTCTTCACCACTAAAATATAAAGCATCTGTTCCAGTGTGATGCCGTCGCATGTGAGGCTTTGACTTTACTGAATCTGTAAATTTTCCAAGCAACAAGAGGTCAATCATTGGAGGTAATCCTTCTCTGAAGTTGCTAGATAATATTTCCCAGCCAATCCTGACAGTTCCAAAAGTTCCCTGATGCCTCCATACTGTAAAACTGGTAATGCAGGAAGTGTCATCCTCAGACTGAATGTCTTCTGCTACCTCTCTGTCTTGGCTCTGAGGATCTAAGATGAACACTCCATAGGGATCATCATTAATTGGGATCATCACAGTCACAGAAAGGTTGGTTTCTGATAACTGGCCACCAGGACTCCCACCTAAAAGAAAGACAAGAAATTATTTTTATAACTCATACACACAATCTTATCAGCTTTTTTATTTATCTGCTTATTTAATCAGTGCTACTGATATATGCCCCTTCTTTTTCCCATTGTTATCTTTACAGTATCTTTAGAGGTAAGCAAGTCTAAAGACCAGCTAGCTGGACAAAGACCACCCAGTGAACAATATGATTAAATAGGGAGTTGCTACATATGAAACTTTTTCTGGCCGCAGTCCCTTATTAATATTGTGACTGTATGACTCTGGTACATTATGCCCAACCACTCCATGCTAGCCAAAAAGTAATCCAGAAAAAGGATTCCTCAGTTTGAGCTTTCACTTACAAAACCATGTTCTCTGAGGCTCCTTTTCAGCAACATATCAAAAAGCCAATCCAAATGGGTCTTCAAAATGAAGATTGCAAATAAAACTGAAGCAACCACACCAGAAAGTATGTTCTGAAGCTCATGATGTATCTTTTCTTATGTAATATGTGTTTAATGTATTTTTACCACATACATGTTTTTAAACCACATGCAATCATAGCAGGAAGTGGCACATTAAATATATTGTCAAATATGTAAATATACCTGAAGCATTCACAAGTTTTAAGGTATAAAATTCATTGAATTCTGGAATTTTATCAGGAATAGCATGAAGAGTTATAGACTGTGACTGTTCACCCTCTGTGAACCATACAGTTCCAGATACTTCATAGAATTCTTGTCCTGAATCTAAAGCAGAATTATTGCCAAATAGCTGCCAGGCCAAAGAAACATTGCCAAAGTAGCCTCTGTGCCTCATGATCCTGTATGGTAGAACAAAGAAAACTATTTTCAGACTTACATTTTTCAATTCTCTACATGATCTCAATATATTTTTAGAGGGCAATAAAGACTACTATGAACATATGTAATATTCCCAGTGTTAAAGGACCTCTTCAATGGAATGCAAATTGGGAATATACATTTATCTCCTCTGAGTTTTCACAAAGACAGGAGCTCAGTGTGAAGATTTAATGAAACAAAAAAGTGTCATTAAAAACCATGGCTGTGATCCAAAGAGCCACTTTAGGTGTGCCCAAAAGGCAGTCTATGATCACGGAGAATTTTCTTTTTTGTTTCCTCAAGCAAAAGGCTCCTTACCATTACCAACAAACCAGAGCATCATTGTTGTCTTAAATACACAGTAGTTGGGACATGAAAATAGCTGGATGGGTTTATTTATTTTATTTATTTATTTAGTAAATTTATAGGCCGCCCAATCCCGAAGGACTCCCTTCGGGATTGGTATCCCTTCCCAGGTAATGCTACACAAGGTTATGAGCAATATATAGACTATTTTGAAACAATTATTTTGAAATCTTTTGGGGATATACTGAAATATTTGATTTTTTTACATTACCATCTCATTGTTTTCATAATCTTAAACAGCTGGGACTTGGAATATTTATGTGGATTATAAGGAATTATGTTTTACAACAGGAATTTGTACATCATCATCTAATGGAATCTTTCTACCTATAAACATTCTGTTTGTTTTTTAAAGTCAACTGGTAAAGTAGTATGTGTTATTAATCATAAATAATAGAATACACACAAAATCAGGCAAGATGTTTCGAAGAACTTTTGTTGGTTGCTTCTTTCTCCCAGCAACCCTACAGATACTCTTGAACATAATCTAACTCAGTGTTTCTCCAATTTGGCAATTTTAAGATGTCTGGATCCCTGCTGCTTGTGCACCTTTTTCTTCCACACTTTTCCCTTCCACATAACTTTCTATTAATGTGTTTTGATACAGCACTTTGGGAACATCCAACTTCTTTTGCAATTACCTTTTGAGGCTTTCCCTCCTTACGGAGGGTGTCAATGATGATTTTCTGCAATGATGAGAACTGTCAGGTCAGCAGTCTTTCCCATGATTGTGATTCCTACTGAACCAGACTGAGAGACCATTTAAAGACTCAG